CTTTTAATTAAAAAAAAAAAAAAAAACAATATTAAGCTGCAATTTTCATTTCGCAACTTTTCATGAGACACATAAAGAGATTAAAAAATAAATTGAGTTTAAAAATTAATTTTTTCAAAAGTTACTGTGGGTACCCTTCTATAAAGTTAAAATTCATACTTAGCCATTAAAATCACTTTTTTGTTAAAAAATAGCAATTAGTCGATTTGAAAAAAATTTTGATGTTCAGCGATGATTTTTCATTCTAATAGTAGTGTACTTTTAGCATCATTTATACGTAAATTATGACTGTCAAGTACGATTTCATGGGACAAAATATTGAGATCTTGATTTTTGGGCGACAATAGAGCATACTTTCGTGCTTGTGTTTAAGACATGAAAAATTTGAAAATAAATTTGAGTTCAAAAAAGTAAAAAATACAGCTTAATAGCAAATGTCACTGAAAAGTAGAAAAAAATTTTACTGATTTTGAATAAATTAAAAATGAGAATAGATTTACAAAAAAAAAATTTTCGTTGTAAAAAAAAAGCACAAAGTATTTTTTTGTAATAATTGCATTTGTACAAATATCTGTCAATCAAATTTTTACAATAATTTTATCAAGCACTTGACTTTTTTTTACAATAAAATGAATTTTTTGTTAATTTATTCTAATTTTAAACTTATTAAAAATTATTTTCTATTTTTTAATTTGGCATGTTATTAACTCGAGTTTCTTACACTATGTTAAAGAATGATTTTTATTCTTTATGGCAATAGATGATTAAAAATGCTGAACAGTAGTCAGTCTAAGTCTGAACCACGGAAGCAATAAAACAAAAAAAGACAGTAATAAAAAAAGGTAATTAAATATAAAGAATTATTTTTCTTGAGTCGGTAGAGTACAAGCAAAGGGATAAAATAAAATAAAAATATTAAGAGTGGACACGTCTACACGTAGCGAAATAAATGACCGGATGAGGTTCTACTTAAGGGGGAGCCAAACAAATAAATAAATACAAATAAAAACAAGTATGCGAGATATAAATGAGCATTATTGGCGACGCGCAATAATGAACTTAATAGGATAGGGGGATAGGAGTTTTTAGAGGGATTTAAACTCTGATTAACAGAAGAGCTAAGTAAAGGCAATGGTTATTTCCGAGGTAGATATATACTAGAGACTACAGAGCAGAGCTTCCCATAAAGCTGCCTCAAGATTTAACTCAACTCGCGACTCATCAGTCGCGGCTTCTGTCACTTTGACTGTGATTCGATCTATCTTCACTTATACTCTTGTACTTCCACTCGCGAATTCTTCTTTATTTATTTATGTTCCGTATGTTACATCTATAGAATTTCAATCAGTACTGTGCTATTATGATTTTTCATATTAGCTGGTTTCAGATGTAGTGCTTATGGCCTCCGAAAGATGGCGTATGGTCGCTAAGTATTTCTGCTACAGGAGAGTTCTCCGAGGCAATAAATAAAAAAGTTTGGAAAATCCAAAAGTGCACGATTCATACCACTCATTGAATTTTTAAGAAAAAAACCCGAGTTGAATAAATTAACTTAAATGAACTTAACGGCTAAGGTAAGAGCCCCAGTACATGCTCACTCCATGTATTTGTATATCTATATTTGTGAATAGTTGGATGGATGACCGTTTGTGTTATATCGATAAAATTACCTGTAGTGATTTTTTTTTTTCATTTTAATTGGTTATAGATGATTAGTTACGACCATAGAAAGTATAATTTATGAATATCATCAAATATTCAATGAGAAGTATTGGGACATACAATAACCTGATCAGACATGGACAGATCTGATCGGATCTGTTCATGTCTGGCCAGGTCTGGTTAGGTCCGGTCATTTTTCATATCTGATCAGATCTGAAAACTCATGCCTGCTTATATCTGATCAGATCTGATCATTTCTTCCCGGGCACCCAATGAAATAGTCTTTTCTAAATAATACAAATTTTTTGCAAAGATAAACTATAATTTTTGTACTAAAATTTAGCGTCTAACTATAGCTGTAACTACACGGAAAAAAGTAAACTGTAATAAATAACAGTGGATATATATTATAATAAGTAATGATTAACTGCTAAAAATTACCATTTCAAACAGTAAAATCGTGATTTTACTATTCACTTTATAATATTTACCATTTAAACGTTACAATTTACTCTTTACATGGAAGAAAATAACTATTTCAAACAGTAATATTCGCTATGTAAATGTCTAAAATGTTTAAGTATAATAATTAAGAATTT